GTGGGGGGAGGTGCTGGGCTCCCAAGCTGGTGCTAGTGCCCCCATGAGCCTGGGTGAGCTGCCTTGAGCCTGGGCAGGCTGCTGCACTGCCCCAGGCCTGGGGCCTGGGGCCTGGAGCCTGCGGGACTGCAGCTCTACTGTAGGCCTGGGAGAGTAGCTGCTGCTCTTGGGGGTGGGACTTCCAGTTGGTTTCAGCCACTGTTGAAGGCACCTACTGTGTGCTGACCATGCCAACACAGATGAGTTCACTGGACGGATGGTGCAGGGTGCTCTAGTGACTCAGGTTGCTGGGATCCAGCTGCTCCCTGTTTCCTCCTCCCAGGGAAGACCCCGGATCCTCCAAAATGGCAGAGCCTCCGGCTGCGCTGGGGAAAGTTCACTGACGTGCCGCTTACCACTAACCGTCTGCTTTCCATCCACAGTACAGGAACCTTCTGCCTCATGTCTCTGCACTGCTTAAGGTTGGTCTTCCATGCTCACATTCACTCACACTCTCTTTTACACTCACATACACTCACCCATGCTCCAGTCCTGCCTGTAGCCATCTTCTTTTGTTCCCAAAGTGATTTAAGGGGAAAAAAAAGCAGTTGTCTGCCTGGCGGTGTTGCTCAGTGGTTGAGTGTTGACCCATGCACCAACAGGTCGCCAGTTCGATTCCTGGTCAGGGTATATGCCCAGGTCATGGGCCCGATCCTCAGTGGGGGCATGCAGGAGGCGGCCAATTGTTTTTTTTTTTTAATCCTCACCCGAGGACATTTTTCCATTTTTTGTTCAGATAGAGCGGGAGGGAGAGAGAGGTAGAGAGAGAGAGAGAAATATCGATGTGAAGGGACACATCGAGTGGCTGCCACCAGCACGACCAACCCAGGCCGGGACAAACTGCAACCGAGGTACATGCCCTTAGCGGGAACCGAACCCAGGTCTCTCTGTACCGCAGGCCGACGCTCCAACCGCTGAGCCAAACCAGCCAGGGCAGATTGTTGTTCTTTCTCATCGATGTTTCTTTCTCTCTCTCCCTAAATCAATAAAAAATTTTTTTAAAGATTCTTTAAAAAAATAATTTAAAAAAATTTTTTTAAATCAGGTTTATACTTGTATAGGATTTCTGGTACCAAGAATTAACCAATCAGACACAACCTTATTATGCACATGACCAATAAGGTGCAACTCTATTGTATGGTCTATATATATTTATGGTTGAAGACAGATCATTCACACCTGATGCTATTGTATTGGCTGTTGCCATTTTTAAAATTTTATAATCTTAAAGAAAAGAGGTTAGTGACCCTGATTAAATAGTCAGGTATTGCATGTTTTAAATAATTCTTGTAGTGTCCACACGGGTTGAAAATCGCTGATTTACACTTATTTACATAAATTCAAATACATTATTGTACTCGTTTAGTAAATTCATGAGGAAAATCGTGAGTGAAGGCACTGAACAAATTTTTCGTTACTGAACAAACGAATATCTCATACACCTCAACTGTAACTACCAATGACTCAATTATTTTTAAAGCAAAATAAGTTACAATTTGTGGACAGCTTTGTCTCACTTACGAATGGGAAGCCTGAGAACCAGGGCTGGAGGGCAAACATTTCCAAGGGCCTGACTCTAGATGGCTCACTTTCCTCACCTATAAACATAAAGGCTGAACCGGGCTTCTGCAGCCCAAAGTGTTTTTCTCCAGTGTTTTGCCCCTTCTGCCTAAGTCTAGAGGCTTCAGCATGAAAAAGTAGTAAGTGTAGCACAATTTTCTAAAACACAGACCTCAACACTGTGCTTTTGAGCGTCCATTCCCAACCTTACAGAAACCTCCAGATGCAGCGCAAAAAGAAATGCACAACAGCCCTCGACAAATCCTCAGCACTTACTCCACTCAATGCTTTCTAGACAGTTTTTCAGCACCGTGTGGACGAAGGACAAAGGCACAGCCCGCAGGTCTCCCGAGAACCGCGTTAGCCTGAGGACTTCGCGGGCCGAGCGCCGGTGCTGGGGACGATGGGGCGTGGCCAAACAGGAGGGAGGAGCGGGGCTGGAACGCGGACCCCGCCCCCGGGCCCGGGTGGCGTCCCTGCGCCTGCGCGCCGGGCGTAGGCCTGTGGTTGGAGAGCCCAGGGTTCCAAGCTTGCCCTTGCGCCCCCGCCTCCGCCTCCACCCCTACCCCGTCCCACCTCCGCCCACTTGACGCGATGACGCACGGCAGGTTTGCGGACGTGGCGGTGGCGCAAGACCGGGAAGGCGGAGACTTTGGCCTCGGCGGCGGCGGCGGCGGCGGCGGAGTAGGAGGAGGGCGGTGGCAGCCAAAAACCGAGGTTCGGTCATGAACTTGCCCGGGACGGCGGCGACGGCGGACTTGGCAGCTGTGTCCTCGTGGCGTCCCCCTTGCTAACGGGACAGGTAACGATGGTGGCGGGAGGTGGGGAGTGGCTCCGCTTCGGCCGGCGGGGTTGGGCCCCAGCGGCGCCCTCGCTGGAGGCGACGCGGGCCATTGGCCGCAGTGGGCGGGGGCGGCTGGAGGACTCATTGGGAGACCAAGCCCCCCAGAGGCCTCGACACACTGTTGGGGAAACTGAGACTCAGAGGAAGCACCTCTACGTGCCCGACTCCCGGGGCGACGCGTTTTTCACCCAGACACTGTATTTCTCCCGCAACTTCGTGTGTGTGTTGACTGTTCGCTGACGGCAGCTGGTCCACACCGTCCAGGTGTGAGGAGTGACATGAAAATCCGAGGTTGGTCCTCGCAGCGGGAACAGGGAACGGGAAAAGGAGACTGGTGGGATGGAGAGGGAGGGAAGTCGCGCTTGTAAAGCCGAATTGGCCCTGGAGGATACGGTCCCACGACACTGTCCCGGTGCCGAGCTACCTGGTACCGCGGTCCTCTTACTGTCCCCTGGGTAAGGGGTGTGGGAGCGAATCCACCTGCGGCAGTTGTTGGACTGAAGGCGGTGTTGGGGAGCCGTTTTCACACGCGGACCGAGCTGGGAATCGTTGGTAATGTTTGTGCCCGCTTGTAATCTGCGTTGTTGTAGCTTTCTGAAGGGGAGCTTCGTGCTTTTTTCTTGCCCAAAGAGAATTAAGACAGGTGAAGAGCATTGAGTCAGATCACTTGAGGACTGTACTTTCTAATCTCTGTAGAGTTGGCCCTGATAATTACCTGCCTGGGCCAAAGTCGAGCTTCTCACTTCAGGTAGACACACAATTCTTGATTATTCTGCTGCCTGCATCTCATTACACGGGAGGAGGTAAGAGATAGACAAATGAGATTCAGCCCTCAAATAGTATTTAGGACTACTACATCATGGACAGGTTGATACAAATATCTAAAATGGCTTTTGGACCTTGCTGAGTGACTTCCGGCTGTACTAAGCTAATTTGGGGTTCTAAGAACAAAATATGAGGTAGACAAATTCTAACGGGTGGCATAACTGGGAGAGTATAGCCCTTTTTCTATTGCTGTATGTTAAGTGGTTCTTAACTTTTTGAAGTCATGGACCCTTTTTGAGAATATGAAAATATTTTCCCTAGAAAAATGTACATTATGTGCCTACAAATCACAGGATTCACAGACAGACATTCCCTAGATTAAAGACATGATAGAAAAGACTTTGTTAAATAAGTGGAAATGAAACTGTTGTCTATTTTAGGTGAAGATGATATATTCTTTCAGCTTTTTTTGAGAATTAAAAATAAAGCATCCTTAATTTATTATGGTATTTTAAAAAGTGTAATCACTTTGTTGCTTGTTAAAACTCCTTGAAAGAATTGATCATGACTTCAAAACTGCTTTTGAGATGTAAAATGTGGGGAGCTTTCTTTAGTTTGGTGGCTGTCAAGTTATTACTCATGGTAATAAAAAATGTAGCACCTGGAGAAACAGGTGAAATAATCCACTCAATATATAGCTATTAGTTGCCTGAGTTATCTGAAGGGGAACCTTTGAGTTTTTAATGCATTATGTTGCCATAGAGCAGGATTAGAAACTAGTATTCAAGGATTGGGTTCAGTTATGAAATTGTTCCAAAAATTTAATAAGTATATGCCTACCTACATGGAAAGAATAATCTGTTTGTCATCCAAACTCCACAGACTTTTGGAGTTTGTCTTTTCTGATTTCTTTTTTCTCTTTTTCACTTGGTGCTTGTTCATAATTTTTACAACTAAACTAAGTCTTTTTGAGACATCATTTTGCCTTGGCTTCTATGACATATGGTTTCCTCCTCCTCTGAACATTCTTTTTCCATCTTTGCATGCTGATTATCCTTCACCTGGGAATGTGGAATTAGCTTGTTCTCATATTGTTAATTTTAATGAGAATAGACCAACTTGATAAAGGTGAGTTGAGAGTGAGTATGCAATAAAATAAAAATTATTCATTGATACAAGTTTTTAACTTAGGTCAGCTCTCAGTCAGTCTTACAGTCTCTTCTGAAGTAGGAATGAACATAGTGACCTAAAATCTTTTCACATTGTATATGGACTGTAAATTGAGTTTGAAGAGGACTTTGATAAATTAAGTTTGGTGAAAAGCTTCCAGAGAAGGAAAATCCCTGGTTGAGAGTAAAATCATGACCTATATAGAAGTCACCTACTATAGTAAATATAAATAATGATGTCAGCATGATCCAAGGAGGTAGGTAGGTAGCACAAAAGATATTTCAACCCCACATGAACTTAAAATGCAGAACAAGCTAAAAAGTTTTGGATTTATAAATGTATTTGTATACCTATAAACAGTGATACCATCAGAACTATAAAATGTGTGTGTGTATATAAAATGTGTGTGTGTGTATATATGTATATATATATAATTACACGTTTTTAAGAAAATATAAAAGTATCTCATGCTATTCACATACTCAAAAAAGGGGAAACTTAATTTTTTTACCTAAAAAAAGTTTATAGCTATTTGTCCTTATCAAAATGTTTTGTGATATATGGTCTATAAGAATTTATTGCCTCTTCATCCCTTCCCTTTGTCTCCACTTCTAAACGTATTCACTGTACTTCAACAGCTATAAAACTTGAACCTAAATTTTTAAATGACTAAAACCATTTTTGAAAAAAAACCAAAAACAAAGATAAGATGTTCTGAATGTATGATTCATGTAAAATCAGCCAAATGGATCAGATATATTTTAGAGTTTTCTCTGATTTCTTCCCTCTTATCCCCCCAGGTTTGGACATTATGGCAGGAAGGCATCAGAATCGTAGTTTTCCTATTCCAGGAGTTCATTCAGGTGGCCAAGTACATGCATTTGGAAACTGTATAGAGAGCGATGTGTTGGAGGAGGATGCTGAAGTGTATGAGCTTCGATCCAGAGGAAAAGAGAAAATCCGAAGAAGTACATCAAGAGATAGACTTGATGACATTATAGTATTAACAAAAGATATACAGGAAGGAGATACTTTAAATGCAATAGCCCTTCAGTACTGTTGTACGGTAAGTTTTAATTTGATTTTGCATAATGCAGTCCAAAATAAATTATTTGTTCATAGCACAAATCGAAATAAATTCTGTGCCTTTTTATCTTGTCTGCCCCACCCCCTTTTTCTTCTTTCCATAGAAATCTGTATAAGGTTGATGGATATTAACTTTTTAAATTTTTAAGTGAATACTTGAATTTCTTGTTATTTTTAAATCTGTGCTTCTATTTTCAGTACTGAATAACACCCAAAAGTTATCCTTTTCTCCTATCCAAGTTGTAAAAAACTGTAGAAATATATAAAGAAGTTTTGTCCTGCCTCAGTTTCCTGAGATAACACATTTGTGTTTCTTTTCATGCCTTTTTTTGTGCTTTAAAAAATGCATATATATAAAATTCCTGGGAGGTTGGTGATTTTCGTGTTTTTAAAATTGGTTTATACCATGCCTTTTACTCTGCAGGTTGTCTTTGCCTTCTTTATTTCTTAATTTATCATGGTTATTCCCTAATAGACTTAAATATCTAACTATTATTTTATATAGCTATATAATTTTCCATAGTATTGATGTATCATAATTATTAAGCCATTCTCTAACTCATAGTCAGGATTTTCCCCATATTTTGCATTGTGCTGTGAGTATCTTCACAACTATATCTTTAAACGGAAATACTTTTATTTCTATAGAATAGATTTCCAAAAGTAGGATTGATAGCTAAAAGGAAAGGTATATTTCTCATTTTTGTAGATATTAAACTGATTAAACCCATTTTATATCTGTGTCATTTTTATCTTGCATCCTTAGAATGGAATCTGTTTTCATGTAAATACATTGATATGGAAACTTTTTAGAACATTGGTTTTCAAACTTTTTCTCACACTCCCAATAAAATTTTGAAGTGTATGTACTATGTACCTCCTTGCACATTTTAAAGTGAACTTTTCAAATATTTCCTAATGACTTAAAATAGTTACAAAGGATATAATTTCTATAACATCAATGTTGATACTGAAAAAAAAAAAGACGGTTAGAATACTCTTTTAGTGAAATGTATGGAATTCTAAATACTAATTTAGGATTTGCTACCTAAAATAATTCATGTAAAAACATAGATATTATATATGTTCTTTATTTATAAGCATGAAATTTAAATCATTTTTTCTCCTTGATTAATATTTTTATCTTCATCCCCAAAATCTTTTATAATGTAATTTATTTTTATACTTCAAAACCTTTTAGGAATACCTGTCATAGTTATCTGAAATAGAAACATGCACACATATTTGTAAATATATATATAAAAACTTAAATTGAATTTTAAAAATATCCAATGACCATGACGTTCTATGTATTATTTTTTGCTAGAGTAATTATTGAACTTATTCAAATTGATCAAAACATACTATAAATTTTGATTTAAAAGTGTAATAAAATATGTTTTTGAAATGCATTTTTTGATGAGGTGTGAGAAGAACGGGGTTTTGGGGTTGGTTTTTTTTTTTGGCAATTTATGTATGGCAATACCATTTATTACTAATTCAGAAAATAATCTGATTTTGTTTTTTAATGCAAATAAATATGTGAATATGTGGCCCCCCTTTATTACAGAGACATTAGTTTTTCTTTCATTAACCTGGAAAATTTTCTTAGAAGAAGAGAAATTTGAAATGCCATTTGAATGATTTAAAATAGGTCGTATTTTCAGTGAGGTAGGAGAAAAGGAGAAAGTATTTCCAGCATATGACAGTGATGTAGAGATTTCAAGGAGGAAATAAGGTGAACAACAGGAAATTTAATAGGTATTTCAGAAATGAGTGTTATAGACTGATTGAGGTGAAGTACTTTGAGATAACTAAGGAAAAGTTTGACCCCAATAAGGCAGTTAGCTTAACATTAGAGGAAAGATGGCATTGGTTATAGTAGTGGGAAAATTAATACAGAATTAGGGAGTTAAGATAAGTAATGTGCAAGTAGCAAAAAAAAGATTAACCTTACCAAAGGATTTATCATTTAAAAAATACAGTATTTAATGCTGTTTTCCACTTATATTCAGTCATAGGAATTACTTAAAATATGGCAGTTATAAAACAGTAATTAGAAATCAAAAAGTCCAAGATTGGAATCCTAAATGCATCCAAGCAAATTAGTATAACAGAGAAAATATAGGTTTATTCAGAGAGAGAACCTAGGTAGATATGAAATCCCAGAAGCCTAGTTCAGAACAAGGATTGAGCAGTTACTAGAATATAACCAAGCAAAAGAACATTTAAAGAAAATAGGGTCAGGATTTGGGGTTTGTCAATGAATTGTTTGTTTGTTTTAATTAAATTTATTGGGGTGACATTGGTTAATAAAATTATATAGGTTTTAAGTGTACAATTCTAGGCTACCCCATCTGTGCATTGTATTGTGTGCCCACCACTGAAAGTCAAATCGTCACCATATGTTTGACTCCCTTTACTATCCTCCCCCTAGCCCCTTTCCCTCACCATACTCTTGTCTGTGTCTGTGAATTCTTGTTTGTTCATTTGTTACTTTGAGTTTTATATCACACATATGAGTGAAATATGGTTCTTGACTTTTTCTGTCTGATTTACTTTCCTTAGAGTGATATTTCAAGGTCCATTCATGTTGGCACAAATTGCAGTATTTCACCTTTGCTTATGATTGAGTAGTATTCCATTTATATATGTACCATACTTCTTTAATCAGGTATCCATCAGTGGACACTTCAGTTGTTTCCATGTCTTGGCCCCTGTGAATATTGTGTAGTGAATATAGGGGTTCATACATCTTTGTGAATAAATGTTTCCAAATTTTTCATTAAGATAAACCAGAAGATGGGTTGCTGGGTCATAGGGTAACTCTATTCTTAATTTTTTGAGGAGCCTCCAGATTGTTTTTCATAGTGGCTGTACCAGTTTACACTCTCACCAGCAGTGAATGAGGGTTCCTTTTTCTCCACAACCTCTCCAACACTTGTTATTACTTGTCTGTTGATAATAGCTGTTCTAACAGGTATGAGGTGGTGTGTCATTGTACTTTTTTTAAAAACTTTTTTATTTTTAGAGAGAGAGGAAGGGAGGAGAGAGTTAGAGAAATATCGATGTGTGAGCAAAACATCGATCCGTCCCTCCTGCATGCCTCCTACCAGGGATCAAGGGATCAAGCTATTGAGCTCACAACCCCGACATGTGCCCCAACCAGGAACTGAACTGGCAACCTTTCAGTGTACACACCAGACAACACCCACTGAGCCACACCAGCCAGGGCTGTCATTATAGTTTTGATTTGTATTTCCCTAATAGGTAGTGAAGTTGAGAATCTTTTCATATATCTATTGGCCATTTGTATGTCTTAGGAAAAGTCTGCTCAGGTACTCTGCCCATTTTTTAATTGGATTGTTTGTTTGGTGTTGAGTTGTATGAGTTCTTTATATATTTTGGACATCAACCCCTCGTCAGAGCTGTTGTTTGCAAATGACATGTCCCGTTCGGTTAGTTGTCGTTTTGTTTTGTTGGTTGTAGATGCATCTTCATTTGCCTTAAGAAAAAACAATCTCTTGCCCTGGCCGGTTTGGCTTAGCGGTTAGAGTGTCGACCTGCGGTCCGGAGAGACCCGGGTTCGGTTCCCGCTAAGGGCACGTACCTTGGTTGCAGTTTGTCCCCGGCCCTGGTTGGTCGTGCGGGTGGCAGCCACTCGATGTGTCCCTTCACATCGATGTTTCTCTCTCTCTCTCCCTCCCACTCTATCTGTACAAAAAAAAAGGAAAAAATATCCTTGGGTGTTTATAAAAAAAAAAAAAAAAAAAAAAAGAAAAAACAATCTCTAGGTAGTAAAATGACAAAGGACTCTTTATCTTTCCTATCTCATCTACTTTTTAATCCTCTCTTCCTCCTCCTATCACAGATACACTTCAAGGGATATGATTTTTCCAACAACTCTCATTCTTCATTGGATTTGATCAGTAATCTGCCATTGATCCAGTTCACCATTCCCTCCTAAAAACCCTCCATTTGACCTTGATAGTGCAGTTTCTGATTTTCTTGTTATTAATATTTAAGAACAGCTAATACTTATATAACATTCAATATATCACTTTTCTAAATGTCCTTTATACATTTTAATGGATTAATCTTTACAACAACCATATATGATACATAGTATTATTACTGTTATTTTATATATGTGGAAACAATTTCAGAGAGGTTAAGCAACTTGCCCCAAATCGTACAGCTACAAAGTGTCAGAGCCATGCTTTAAACCTAGATAGTCTATGCTTTTAATCACCAACATCTATTGCTTTCCTGGTCTCTTTTCATCTCCTTTGTGGATTTCTCTTACTCAACGTACCCCTAAATGTTGGCATTCTTCAGTGGTCTTTCCTGTGTCACATTTTAATGCTATCTTTTTCTAGTGAATCCATCTACTCTTGTGACTTTATTTACCATTTTGCTGGTAATCCACAAATATATAACTCTAGTTGGGATCATTCATCTGCATTTCAGAAATACTTTCTAGAATCTACTTAAATAGCTGGCTTTAGGGCTATTAAACATGGGAGATAGTAAAAAGTTCATTGGTGATTTCTTAAGACTGATGGATTAAAAGTTGTGTAGAACTGTTATCCACAAATAAAATACAGTCTCTTTGGGTGTGATAACTTAATACTACTAATAATTAAACTTGACTTCTTTTCCTCTCCAAAAATAAATGGGGTGAATGAATATTGCTACATCTGGTTTGATTTAGAATTCAGTTGAATGTTTTTTGTTTTTACAGGTAGCAGATATCAAGAGGGTTAACAATCTCATCAGCGATCAAGACTTTTTTGCCCTTAGGTCTGTCAAAATTCCTGTAAAAAAGTTCAGTTCATTGACTGAAACACTTTATTCTCCAAAAGGAAGACAGGCTTCACGTCCTTCATCTGTTCAGTACGTTCCAGAGCAACAGGAAATTTTGTCACTTAATGATTCTCTTTCTTCCAGTGAGTCAGCTGGCAGCTTTTTAAAAGAAGTAGACCGAGACATAGAACAATTAGTAAAATGTACAGACACCAAAAGAGAGAACCTTAATGAGGTGGTGTCTGCCTTGACAGCACAACAAATACGTTTTGAACCTGATAACAAAAACATTCAACATAAGGATCCTTACTATGGAGCAGACTGGGGAATAGGGTGGTGGACAGCTGTGGTGATAATGCTGATAGTGGGTATAATAACGCCAGTATTTTATTTGCTGTATTATGAAATTTTAGCTAAAGTGGATGTTAGTCACCATTCAACAGTGGATTCTTCACATTTGCATTCAGGAGTCACACCCCCATCACAGCAGAGACAAATGGACAATGGAATTGCTCCAACTAAAAGAATACCATTTGGCCAGCAAGATGATCATAAACTATATAGTCACAATTCTCAGTCTCCTGCTGCTCAACACAAAACATAGCAATTAGCTCATAAGTACAGTGTTTGTGATCACATGCTCATCTGGAATATGATGAATCAATAACCACTTCAAAGGCAGAATTTAGGGAGATTGGAGATGCTTTAGTTTTTCACTTTTTTTAAGCCATTTACAAATGTATCAAATCCCTGCAGTTGTTGTGGATATTGAGAACAACAGTAAATCTGTATATCTGTTGTATCAATGCTTAAAGCAAAAATGAATTTAAATATTTGTCTAGGAAGTTCTTGGAAAACATTTTTCTTATTCAAGACCAGTTATGTTTAAATTTTATTTAATTATTTTTTGGTTTAAGGTTATTAATGTTTATTAAGCAGAATAATGATAGCACCAGATATCTGCAACTGAATTTACTGTGAACCATCAAAATGTTTAGTTGCAAAAAAGTTTGATTCTAAAATTATTTATGAGAGCACATACTTAAAACTCCATTTTAAAACTTTCTGAAAACTAGTTTAGCACATATGCTATGAAGGCATAAGTAGATGCAGAAGTTGGAAAGTGATGTATAATGTCTATAATAGAGGCTAAGATAGAGATTAAATATTATTTTAAGCCCCAAAATAATGTGTTATAGTTGGGAAGTTGCCAGTTGGTCTATAGAACACTGGATTAGGTCAAAGAACCTAAAGATCATTGTCTCTTAAAAACTGCTGCCTCTTCTTCTGATTTTGAAGTCATATTTGCACTTTTGTAATTCTTTGATGAAAAGTGTTATACATGTACATGTTAGCATCATTTGGAAAATAATGTCCTACATACTGTGATAAGATGTTGCTGTGTTACATGTGGTAACATGCCTTAATTACATTTAATGCCTTAAAAAATATGTGAGCTAATATAATTTTTAGAATTAAAAGTAGGCATTATTTCAGATGGTCCAATGCGATTCAGAACATAGGCTATATAAATTTGTCTCCACTTTCACTATCAAGCACAAATTAATGGGGTCAAAACAAGTTTTCATTGTGGCAGAAAATGGTTCATTAAGCAAAAGCAGGAGTAAAGACACCTTTGGCATTAGCAGTAACAGACACATAGCTTTACTTATTGATCCCTTCAACTCTTTTTCAAAGAGAAAATATCCAACTTCAATTTTTTTTCCCTTTAACTGGAGAATAAAGTTGGGGAGGAGAGGCCAAAGGCATAAGGTCAAAAGTGCTTGAGAGTGCCACTTTTTAAGATCTGTGGATCTGCAAGGTAAGAATTTGCAAATTGATTCTATAATTTAATTTTGAAAGCATGTGTTTTTAAAAATGTAACCAAAATGATTCTTTAGAAAAAAGATTTGGTGGAGTCGGGACTGCCTGTTTGTGTATAATTAAACTCTTATAATACCACCTCATTTTCTGGGCATTATTTCCTAATTTTAATGTTTCATCTTTTGACTACTTTGTATTGCAAACTCCAATCTAAATACAAAGTGGTGTAAATAAATATATGTGGTAAACAGGTTTTATGTACCTTCTGTAGCAAAGTATAAAAAGGACAAAGAAGTCAAATGTTAAAGCTTTTGTGTGTATGAGAACCTTGGATCATTACCGAAAAGTGTTAATGTGGAAATTGTAGCAAGTTGATTCTTTGAGTAACTCAGTTTAAAATTTAAAAATTGTTTTAATGTTCTGTGGGCATCTTGAAAAGAGGAGTATGATCTTTCTAATTTATGCTCAATGTTAACTTGATCAGTTTACATTGTATTTATTAAGCCTGCTGAAAAATCAAGTTTTAGGGAATATAGATTATTTTAAGGTAGAATGTGCTAGGTGTCCTTTTTTGAACTTTGTTTACATCAAATTGATGAAATTACAGAAAGTCAGCAATTCCTTTTTGTCAGTGGTACTTTGAAATTGTGATAGAGAGGTCTAATTCCCAGGATAAATTATTTTTAAAGTAGTGAGGTGCACTGTGTATTTGTTAGTGTCATACTCCTTGAAGGAAATATAACATCCTATGACACAGGCAGTTTACTTTTTCTGTATATCTGAACTATATATATTAATTGAATATAATTTGAATTATATAATTCTGTTATATATAGAATAGATTCTAATCGTCGTGCCATTTTTAGAAGATAAATTCCTAAGCGTTTAATAGCTACAGAATAATTTTAGCTTTTAAAAAGGACTAATATACCCCAAAATTTGTAGCAAACTCAGATTACTTTGTAAAACTTAATAAAATAAGAAAAATTGTGAATTTTAATTGTGTTGAAACCCTTATTTGAATTTTGAGGCTTCATATTAGAAGCGATATATATGTGCAAGTATAAAGGTAACAACTGTGTAAATCATGCATTTGGTTCACTTAAAAAAAATGGAGTTACAAGTGAAGAAAAATTTCTTGGGAGCAATTTTTTTAAGTCTGGGTACAAATGGTTAAGGTTGTTTTGAAGTAATAAATGCCATTTGAGAAAAAAATGACTGTAGAGTCTGCTGGCCGCATTAAGAATTAGCAGACTGTAGTGTTAAGTTAACTTAACCAGAGAACTTTTTTTTTAAGCTTGTCTTTTTCTGGACTCTACTTGCTGTACAGTGGCCTGAAGAGTTCTTTCAGTGAACCATAATGGTTCATTACTTAGTTCTTTTTAAAGGTATCTATTTCTCCAGTTGTCTACTTGGGAATATGAAGGATGCAGTTAAAAGTTTTATAACTAGAAGCAAGGATCTAGTCAAAGTGCTATAGGGTAAAGGTGGAGTTTCTAGAAGTATTTAAATGGCACTTTGTGATGGGAATCATTCTTATTTGGAATTACAACAGTTGCTCAGGAAGTCAGTATTTTTCTTCTAAGTATGTGCATATTGCACTGTTAGATCATAGAAATACCTGAATGCAATATTTAATTATATATGCAAATAGTATAAATCTTTTGTATAATGTCTTACACAAATGCAAAATGGAATTGTAGAACATTGTTAGCATGTACATTTGTAAAACTGGTTTTTAAAACTTTGCCCCTTATTTTTCATATTTTAAAAGATCTTCAAAATAAAGTTTCTATTTTATTATTCAATCGAAAATGGAAGCTGGTGAATTTAATTGAATAAAGCAAATCTTTTCTCCTCACACTATGTAAGACAAATTGCCAAAGGCTTACCAATTCAAGTTTCCCCCTTGTTACACTAAAACAAAAATCCGCTTGCTTACAGGATGTAAATGAAATAAAATGAAAATAAATTTCAGATGAATCTTCTTGGAGGGATCTTGGTTCTTAGGGAAGAAGACCTCATAAGGCAGAGTCCAGGACTTAAGAGTTGTCGATAAGTCATATAATAATTGCTCTATTTATGTGTAAATTTTATTATGAAGCAAAACTTTCCATTTAATACTAATGTTTAAAAATTACAGCAGCAAAAAGAATTGACGTTCTGGAGCTTTTACTTAATGGAAGAATTTATGGTGTGATCCTTCTAGCATTTTTACAATCATCTTGACCTTAAAATTTTATTTAATTACAAAAGTTTTCACTAACAGCTTTAAACCATAGTAAGGCCAAGGTGCTGACACTGCATTTGAGGCAGTGGGGAAGGAAGGTTAACATTTTCTGAATTTGTTAGCATTCTCTCATATACAATGTCAGTCAGTCCATGGTGCCAATGATAACATATTAATTACACTGGCTGCCACATCTGTGTTATCACACTTGAATCACTTGAGTTTTCTTTTGTTGGTGGTTTGTTAAAGAATATTTGATACTGGCATCCCTGCTTTATATACAGTTATTTTACCAGGTAAAATCTATTAACAAATTAGTTTTCTCTATCAAATATATTTAAGTAGGTTCAAAACAAAACATCTTAACATAGAACACAATTTTGTTTTGTAAAAATTTAATATGTAAACAAATACAGAAAAATAAGCATTATAGCAACAAAACAGTATTGCTTGTTACATAGCCATTTTAAAGACACTTCACAAACGTACTTTTTTATATATAAGACGCTATCTCTGAATTAAAGTTTAGCTTCCAATGGAATAACTTCAGTCTCTGAGATTTTAAGCTACAAAAACAAGATTCATGCTGGTGAACCAGCAAACACCCTGCCTGTTCTCACAATTAGTCTACTTTATACTTGTAAAGAGATTTTTTTCAAAAGGGGAAAGACAATGCACTTAGGGAGGAGATGGCTGGGGCTTCCCAACGCAAATAAACCTCTGCCCAAAGGGCTGTCCTACCATCTGCAGAACTGAAATGTGGGAGACAGATTGAAAGCTAGGGGGAAAAAAATACCTGTATCTTTGGTGTATTTGCACTATTCAAGCAGTTATCTGCTGATTTACAATACAGCAAGTAAACAGAACCACAGAGATAAGACTTTATAAATTAAATGATATTTAGTTAAGGTACTAAGGAGGCGAGAGAATAAAACACGTGTGTTAATTATCAATCCTAAATGACTATTTGCCCCGTTACAACTGAAGCTTTAAGTGAGGTTTCTGCTTTAAAGGAAATGTATTCAGGTTTTAGAATCCTCAAACATTTTTATAAGTTCCTTTAGTGAAGAAATAATTCAATTATATGATCCTCTCACTCATCTTGAATAAGTATTACAATTGAAAGTGATCTTTTTCCTGAGAAAGCCATTTTACAAAATGGAATAAGAGTATAAATTTTCCCCACCAGAATTCAAGATGGGAAAATCAGATTACAATATACTTTGTGAATAAAGCATGTTTGTTTCAAATAACAGTATTTTCAATCATTTGATGTTATGATTTTTTTTAGAGGGCCAAATTTAAATGAAGAAACTATTTCTAGATGCTTAGAGAATGAACACATAGGTAAATTTTGGTTGCTTTTTTTTTCTTTATTGATTTTAGAAAGAGAGGAAAGGAGATGGAGAGAGAGATAGAAACATCGATGAGAGAACATCGACTGGCCGCCTCCTGCATGCCCCCACTGGGGATCTAGCCCACAACCTGGGCATGTGCCCTGACTGGGAATTGAACTGGCGACCTCTTGGTGCATGAGGCTGATGCAACCACTGAACCACACCAGCTGGGTTTGGTTGCTATTTAAGCAGTTTTTATAGGAAACTGTTTATGGAAAACCAAGCTCAATTTCAAGGTTGAGTTTAATAGTAAAGGTAGAAATAGAGTCTGGTCTCCAATTCTCAGGTTAGAGGGCAATGGGTGATATCCTCCCAAAAGGGAAAATTAAATGTATTTATTTTGGTAGACAATATTAGTAAATCATTTTTAAAAATACATAATATGCATTCCCCTCAAAATCTTTGGCATTTGTGAGTCTTTAGAGGCTAAGGTTTTTAGGTATCCCCTGCACCCCTCACCACACCCAATATAAAAAATCAGAGGAGCTAATTTTTAATTAAAACAAAAAAAGATTGATTTTAATTTCAAAGTGACCTGAGTTTTATTCTGCACTGTTATATAAACCTATTAGATAGCTATGAGCCCTCTGAAATATAACAGAGGTCATTATACCTCACGAATTTCATACATGCACTCTGCAGTGAGATTTATATGACTAAAATCCCATACTTTTGTAAAGTACAAATTTAAACGTCTCAGTCTAATTTTCATAAGCCCAACTATTTGAAATAAACTTAATATAGTGAGATGATGATTAATTCATACATTGTGTGGTAAGAAGTTAACCCCCAATTCAAGTATTTTTAATATTCATCCCAAGCCTTTTTACTAGCTGAGATGTGAGCTGTAAAACTTATATAGCTCTGACTGGCATTTTTCCCTGTGTATATTATGTATCACAAACTTCTAACCTCATATGCCATTGTAAGAGCTCAGGTAGGTTTATGTAGTCATAATATAATAGCATAGAACATACCGTGTAAAAGTAAAAAATAAAGTTATTTTCAAGTTTCTTTGTTTTTAAAGTGCTCCATGTGCAGTATTAAATCAACTATCAGGTTACAGAAATCCATTATGATGACAAGTAACAGTTTTACAAAAGTTCAGCAAGCAGTTAAATGAGAATGATTTGTTCAAGTATGAATACACAGATTTAAAGATGCAGAAACTCTTTAGGCACATTCTAATCCAAATAATACCAAAAGTAAAATTTTCACTTGAATACTTAAGAGAATTATCTGAGTATGGTGAGAAGGAATGTCAGAGTGTCAGAGACTAATTGGTAAAGTAACTAGTATGTAAACGCAGTAGTTCTGAATATTTGGTAACACATGTTGTCCAACAAAACAGGAACAAAAACAAAATACTCCTCATCAGAAATAAGGAAACAAGTTTGTTCAAATGTTCATAAGCTGTACCGTAAAATATTTGTTGGAAAATTTCATGGCTAATAGGTTGCTTCATCCATGTTGTCATCACTGTCTGCACCAAAATCATCTCCATCTTCAAAGTATGAATTAATGTAGTCATTTTCCTAAGTGAAATGATAGATTCCTCAGTAAATATTAAAGTGAAGGAGTAGTAACATTATTAAGGAACATATGTAGGCTGTATCTTTAAGTTTATGAAAACCAAATTTAGGGGATTCCGGTCAAGATGGTGGCGTAGGTAAACGCGGTATCGCGTCCTCCCACAACCACATCAAAGTTAAAACTAAACTACAGAACAACCATCACTCAAAACCGCCTGAAATCGAGCTGAATGGAAGTCCTACAACTACGGAATTAAGCTGCATCGAGACTGGTAGGAGGGGCGGAGGCTCAACTGGCTGGTCCCACATCCACCTATGGCAGATAAAAATCAGGAGGACACCTCACCTGGGAAGGTCCTCCCTCAGGACTGAGGGGTCCCCGTCTCACACCAGACGCCCCGCTCAGGGTTCCAGTGCCAGGAAGAGAAGTCGCCATCACTTCTGGCTGGAAAAACCAGCGGGAACTGAGGCTCAGGGAAGCTGAAGTGGCTGGAGCCCCAGGAAGCTCCTTTTAAAGGGCTCATGCACGGACTTATCGGATTCTCTCCCTCTAAGCTTGGAGGGGAAGCAGCTCCAGGGGCACCAGAGTCATACAGGGAAGAACTGAGCTGTTTGGCATTGTAGTGAGGGCTTGAGAGGGACAAACGTGCTGTCAGAGGCCTTTGTTCCTTTGATGAGCCCTTCCCTGGGGTGGCAGACAGCCACCATATCTGGGACTCCAGCAACCTGGCTCACACTGGTAGCCCCGGCCTGGTGACTCCCTGAGGCCCCACCCCACCCAGTTTTCAGGCCCACCCAAGCTGTTGCCACTTGCTTAACCATAGGATTGGCCTGTCTTGGATCCTGCTTCAGGTTTTTCCTAAATTCTTTCAAACAAGCAGCATCTGATCTCAGATAGCCCCATACCTCTCATTAAGTAATACACTGAAACAAACACAGGGAGGCAGCCAAAATGAGGAGACAAAGAAACAGGTCCCAAATGATAGAACAGAACAAAACCCCAAGAAAAGAACTAAGCGAAATGGAGATAAGCAACCTAACAGATGCTGAGTTCAAAATACTGCTTATAAGGATGCTCAGTGAACTTAGTGAGGGCCTCGAGGGCATAAAAAAGGACCAGTCAGAAATGATGGATGCACAGTCAGAAATGAAGAAGGCATTAACTGAAATAAAAAATAATTTACACAGATTCAATAGTAGAGTAGGTAAAGCCAAGAAGCAAACCATTGATTTGGAATATAATGAAGCAAAAAATGCCCAATCAGAACAGCAAAAAAGACAAAAGAATCCCAAAAAATGAGGAAAGTGTAAGGAGCCTCTGGGACAACTTCAAGTGTGCCAACATTCGCATCTTGGGGTGCCAGAAGAAGAAGAGAGAGAACAATAAATTGAAAACCTGTTTGAAACAATAATGGCAGAAAACTTTCCTAACTTGGTGAAGGAAACAGACATACAAGTCCAGGAAGCACAAAGAGTCCCAAATAAGATGAACCCCAAGAGGCCCACACCAAGACACATCATCATCAAAATGCAAAAGGTTCGCGACAAGGAGAGAATCTTAAAAGCAGCAAGAGAAAAGCGTTAGTT